ATCAATGAAACAAAAATATTTTATGTATCAACAACACTAGAAAACCATCATGTGAAGGTTGCTATGTAGGGAAAGTTCCTTTAAACCTACTCGATTATAAAGCATATATTTTCGACCGACACCCGGTATCTAGAAACGCTTTAAGTTGGGCGCTTCGCTACGAAAAGTGTCGTGCCGAAAGTATTTGTGTTAGTTCTAGGAGTTGAAATTAATAGTTATTTACATAAGAGTCAGAAAAATAACACATTATTGGCGACGAAATATTGAACTACGAGGCCCCTTTTGGGCCGAGTACTTTAATTTCCGAATCTGTCACTTTTCTGTTGTATCAAATTTTACCCGAAATCGAATTTTAATATAAAATTTGAATCTTCATTTATTTATTGATGCGTCGGAAAGCTCTTGTCATTTAGAAGACAAGGACAAATTAATATTTTAGAATTTCAGCCACGTTAAGCCATTATTAACAGAATTTTGTTTCCTATGTTAACTGGCCGTGCACATTCACGCCGTTATCAGGTTGATAAGAGACCTTTATCCCAACCTGAGAAATTGGTCTACCGATTTTAGAAATTTCAATCCGGCGAATTAAGTAAGTAAGCTAAATAAATGTGTTTCAGTAAACGTCATTCCGCATAGTCGTGTGGGGTATCAAAAGAAGCGCTCTTAATTTGAATTTTAAGACCAATTACAGATTTCTAAGACGTCAACAGGCTGCAAGTTTAATTAAAAAAGGACAGCATGCTGCCCAGTTAAAAAAAAAGTTGTAATGTACCTTCTTCTCCTAATAGGCTGCTCCTCCATAGGAAAGCCGTTGTTTAAGGAGCATCTTTTTTGTCATTTTATTTTCCGTGAGTACGTTAATTTATCACTTATAATTGCACAAGAGGGTTGTATTTTACCGAGTAAATTTGGGTTGTTTAGGTAATGAAAATCTGTTACCTAGTAATTAGACGAGAAAAACTGTCAACTAATAAAAATGCGACACCGCAGGTGGAGCATTTTTAGGTTGACAGTTTTTCGAGTCCAATTGCTAAAAGGAAACAGATTTGAATTGCCACAACCCAAATTTACTCGGTTTAAATACAAACCTCGAGTGTAATTCGGCAGGACAATTTAACGAACAAGAAATTCACCAAATTAATCAATTATTGACAGACGTCAAACTAGTCATATGGGAAAGGAGAATGCGATTATTGGTTCGAAAATGAATAAGTGAAAAAACCACTAGTGCATTTGTCGCTGGAAAAGTTGCAGGTAACTTTTGCCGCTGTCAAAGTGACAATTTCACTGCGGGTTATGCGATTTTTTATACATGAGTTGAATTGTCGGGGTAATTTTTGCGAAACCATTCCGCCCAAACGATGTTTTTGCCTTTGGTGTTTTAAACGAAACGTAAAATCGTTTTGCCTTCAAAACCTATTTCTACTTCTTTTTGTTATAAGTAAGTGACGTTAACTTGCAATATTTATAGATTGTAAGAAAGCACAAATTTTAACTACCACATAAGTGTAATGTTAACACTATTCTTTAAAGGTCTACCGCCTTTGTATTACTTACCGTAATATGACCAATTCCCACGCCGCAAAATCGGACACTTGACTTTTATGAAGGTTTTTTTTCAATACGTGTGTTTAAAATAAGTTTATTTTTATTACAAAAGAAATTTTAATCCCCCTTTTGTAACATTCGCGCCGGAGTGACTGAGCATCGGTCGTAAACAATATTCCTTTGCGGCGAAAAATAAACACGAAACCGTCCGGCACGTGTAACGTGGTTCCCTTTTTGTAGTCTTAGACCGAATGGCCCCAAAAACTTCCCAGACTAACCCCTTCCTATTTTTCCATTAATTATTAATTGACGCTTTTTTTCCTACAGTATTAAGTCAATTATTTTTCTGTAACTGTACTGTACTTGTAACGGGTTGTTTGTTTTTGGGGCTTAATTCCCTTAAAGGGTTGTAATTCTTTATTGGGACTTGGAACTTAAATTTTGCGTTCTTTTGTCAGATTTAGTGGGATGCAACAATTACTATTATATTTATTACCATCGACTAGCTCAGATACACTACAATCCCTCTTGCTTTCCGGGATGCTTACTGCAAACCTCTCCCGGATTCGTCGTACGAACTCCTTTAAACTCCTTCTAGGTGGGTATATTTACTTGTTCAAAAAAAAACCAACAAACACTAGGCAAAATTAACCAGTATATTGACTGACAATTAAAATACGAATTGGTCACCGAATAGGCTTTTCCTTTCCAGGATTTCTTACAAAAAAAACCACTCTATTTGCTAGAAATACCTCCTAGTGAGATATAATAAAAAAAAATAGGTGGCCACCCTACCGTTGAAACTCTTATTATAAAGCAAAAAATCCACCTATTAACGAAATATACACATACCTAATCCTACGTAAATCTACAGACATGAACTTAATAACGAACTTATAACTAACCTTGACCAATCCTGCAGTTGGGCTCAGCGAATTGGTTGACCTCTTAACTCGCGTTATCTTCTGGGCCCGTCGCGTCGTTTGGTTACGATGAAATACAATGCGTTGCCTATTGTCGGTGTGATCATGGGCAAGTAAATAGTGGTTACCCCGGTGGTCCGGGGAAAAAGTCGACACTTCTTGCTTATGCTCGAAACGATTTCCAGTGAGCACCTTTACCGCACTAAAATCACCGATTCTCACCGTATCGACCGCCCTTTACTAATCACTTCTTAACCCAATTTATTTATACCTCGATCCGTACAAAACCCTTGGCCGGACGCGGAACTTAACAATGACAATGTTAACTTAGGCACCGGGTAGCGCCTCCACGGTGTACCACTTTCCGACACTCGCAAAAAAGTTCCCGGCGTCTGTACTTCACCGGAAAAATTAAGCAAAACCTATATTATCGGCGGCGTGGTGACTTCCACGATCGCCGCGATAATTCTCCTCTTTACTTTCAAACTATCCCCCTGTGATTTTCCTTTTGACACGCCCGAATTTTACCACGCGCCCCAAAATCTCCAATTAACTTTGAATTCCTTGAGGCCGAATCGCCCTGATTGGTTCAAATTAAATTACAATTCTCCGTCCGCTTTACCACAAAAAAAAATTCCCTTTTCCAGGAATCGCCGCTGTTAGCGATCGATACGGTTCGATTCGAATTATATATGGGACATAGTATAAATGAGCCCTGTTAGTTTCGGTAATAAATAGCAACCAAAAATTGGAGGATTAATTAAGCGACAAAGGACCTCTTGACGCCCCCAATAGCAAAGTCTAATACATACCCGCCTAGATCTGACACTTTATATTTCTGGTTCAGGTCGATTTACTCAGAAATGCTGACACGGGGTTGTTTATGTTGTCTTATTGGTTTTAACGTAACTGTCCCATGACCGGTGGACACACGTGTGATGTTATTGCCGGACCCTTTTTTTTTCGAATTCCGTAAAATCTATATTCTAACCTACGCTAAAGTATCTACTAAATTGAACTAAACAAAAGAAAACAATTTAACCTATCTAATCTACCTAATGAATATACACGGGGCGTTACATACTCCCGAAGTGCAAGGAAAGGCTAGGTTGTCCTTGAGAAACCAACACACGGGAATTGTGCTGAATTGTATTTGTGACTCACTAAAGCCTACGACTTCCGGAAAGCATTTTGAGAACAATACACCATAGAATTGAAATACGCAGAACAAAAAATATGATTGGCAACTTAAATATGGAAACTTCGACTTCTATCCAAATATAAATTTACTCAATGTTTGAAATGATCCAGATTATACTTGAACTACCCTGCTCACCATTCGCTAACGAAACTGCAACCATTTTTTGAATAATTCGCTACCATTACAACCGTTACAACCTTTAAAAATTGCTCGACTCGACTAAAGGGTTGTTTATTGATCTTTTAAGCGTAATCAATCAATAAAATAAGCGCAATTTTTTTAATTGCGTAATTTAAAATCAATAACATCATTCCACTATTCAAGCAAAGAGACCATCATCCATAGTTCTGTATCTTCCAAAATTTATAATGCTACTGCAAAAAATTATTGATAAGCCCCTAGGTATTTTCAGCGATTCCTCCCGTACTTTTCATTGTGAATATGGATAATTTGCCGAAGTAATCGGATATGGTATTAGGGTATAAAAGCATTAATTTTAAAATCTGGACGATGGAAGGGTTGGTATCTTGTTCAAGGGAAGTAACTGATTAAATGGGGGCTAATTGTCTGGCCTATTAAGATGCGACAAATCTACTCTCTACTCTACCTCTCATTATAAACGCCCCTTTGTAATCTACGCATTTGGTCATAAGGGGTGACAGGGCAGCATTCAGTCTGGCTGGTCGTCTTTCGGATATCTGCGAGCCGCATTTATCTAATAAGGGTTGCGTTGACATTTTACTTTTTCATTATTAAGGACCACCATAAAATATCGTTCTGTAGTACCACATCCAAAGCAACTGAGATATAGCGCAGACAGACAGACAAGCTAAATGCGAATTGCCTCTCAGAACATCCTACATACAACGGTGTTGGCATAAGACTTCGATGTCAGTGACGACAGGGAGATTTGTGTTTGTTTTGACTCATTATCAAGCAATGTTAAATTAAAACTACGAGCTCTACATTAAGTAATTAAGTTGGCGTTATAATCCCCACAGCGAACTAATCACATTTACGACTGAAATTGCTTTAAAAAGTAGTAGTCACCGGAACACGGTCTAGAAAAACAACTTACAAAATGCTTACCCATTAAATGTGTTTTCTTCATAATAGCGTCTGCACGTGCCCACATTTTACAGTAGTTAAGTTCTTGATTGATTTGAACGTTCTGTTCTCTTGAGAATCGGTTCGTTATGAAACAACGAATCAAACAACCTTCTATTTTAAAAAAAGGGTCCGTCATTTGGATTAGATAATTGTGTATGACGTCGTTATATCAGTGAAATCTTATATTAAAAGAACAAAAAGTTAAATGTACTTACGTAACCAATCATGGGTAGATTCCATGCGGCCGAAACCAAAGCTTCGTGTGAGCAAGTATCGTCCGGCCCAATAAACGCAATGGTACCATTGTCTCTCATTGACGTCATGATTTTGATAGCTCGCCCAGCTAACGAAGATTTCCCCCGTTCCAATCCCGATTTCGCTGGATTTGTACCAATATCGGCTGCTACATAATTTAGTCGTTTTCCCGGCAAAAGTGCTGGAAACAAAAACGATAATTAACTATTGAGTTTCAAAACGTGGCACTAAAAACCTCAGGTTGCCACAATTACTAAACATGGCGGGCCTAGTCAAAATTGCAGTACAACCCGCAGTCTTAGTTTGCAACGAATTCGATTGATTCAGTCATGGTTTTCAATGGCATTTTATGATGAAAACCTTTTATACAGTCATAGAATCAATTTCTGCTACTTTTGCGATTGCACATTCTCGTTGCGGTTAATTCTTAATTCGAAAATATTAGTAGATTATAAGGTACGGTACATATACAGTGATATTCAGTTAGAAGTAGACATAGGGATTTCCTAGCTTTAAATGACAAAAACTCTTCTGAAGGACGCCTGATTTTATGCAACCAAAATAACTTCTTAAAGCAAATGAAGATTTTGCTGTCATATTAATTATTTGGTATATTAGTATTTTTATTTTCGTTCGTGTGGGACGTATTCAACTAAAGAATTTTAATTTAAATGCGATCCTCATAAGACACCGTAAACAACCCTCAATTTTAACAGAGTATATGAAACTGAATGTTTTAATTTTTGTGGAAGAGAATCCCATAAGAAACTTAAGGGAAGTAGCAGACAAATTTAATATCTCTCCATCATAACCTAAAAGTATTGTCGTTTTTATTAAAATCCAGAATGACAATGCAAAATGCGTGCGCATGTAAGTAAGTAAGTAATTTATTGTGTTAATACATTGAAGAAATGCTTACAGTCGTCCGAAAATCGTATAAAACATAAACATAAAATACATGAAACATATAGAACAATATTACATAAATAACATGAAAATTCATTTAGAAAACAAATAATTAAAAAATACAAACAACAAAAAATAACTTAAAGCGTTAAACTCTTGAGCTCGTTATCTAAAAACTCTTGCATGTTATACGACTATACGAGTATATCGGATTTTCGCGTAAAAAAGTTTTAAGTTTCTTTGAAAAAAGTTGTTCATTTAGAGATGGGAAACAAGAAGGTAAACGGTTATACAATACAGGGCCCCAATAATTATGTGCCGCTTGCGACGTTTTTAATCGTAATCTATCATTATATATTTGATTTTTGTTCCGAGTATTTGTAAGAATGAACATTTTTATGCGTTATATAATTTGTTTTATTTCTATGAACGAACAAAACAGTCAAAAATGTATTGTGATGGAGCTGTTAGAATTTGCAACGATTTAAAGATATTGCGACAGTCCTCCCTGTAGCCAGCATTTACAATATTCCGCACACAACGCCTTTGCATGGCAAACGTTATTTGAGTTATTTGAGTATTTGAGTATTATTTGAGTATTATTTCAGTTGAATAAAATTAGGAGTCTTTAAAAAAGATTTAAAAGTAGAAATCCCTATGTCTACTTCTAAATGAATAGAACTGCAGACTGATAGGTAACTAGAATGCATTTGTTTCCATGGAAATTAACACTCAAATAAACTGGAAACGCCGCTCGAGTCATTTAAAGAATTACGCTTAGAAAAAGGCTACACCATCAACGTATTCTGACTACAAACTGAAATACAGGGTGGCATATCTACAACCAAACTGGCCTATTTTGGGGTAGTTCAATGTGAATTTTTATTGGAGGTTCGTCAACCTTAAATGCGATGGTAACCTCGTTTACGTATAACCTAATACCATTAATATTTGCATCCCTTTTTGCTACAATAACCCTCAAAATGAGATAGTTCCAGTTTGCATCGTTTCAGAAACTTGCTTTTAACCAGCCGTTACTGTTAGCAATCCGAAAAAACTTCCATGTTAATCACAATGAGTCAGCTTATTTACTCCCTTATATTATTTGAAAAGCGGATCTGCAGTTCGAAAATGTTCCTTTGCGTAAATGAACGATCTTGCTACGAATCAGGCCTTCGCCCAGGAAGTTTCCTGCAACTCGTCTATTCACATATACATATAACATTGCTGGTAACTCGCAATTTTTCATCTGAATTTATTTAAATATTTCTCCACGACGGACCCGAAATGTAGGAATTCTCGGTACTTAATATGTTTTTTACCCGAAGTTAAACTGCGAATTCTTTAGTAGGTAGGTACTATTGTGAGAGATTTAACTCAATAAAATCAGAGTTCTTGAAATCGCACCACGAATCTTCACACATACCTACGCGACAAAATTCTCACAACGTAGCAACAAAAAAATCGACCGCAATTCAATTTTTTGCACACCAACGTTTTTACGTTGTCGCTCCTCAATTTTGGTACGGGCTCACGTTCGTAACTTCACGTATAGTAGGTACGTCGGGTACATGGCTAGAATGAGGAAAATACTGCACTTTTTGATTGGAATATATGCCACTTTGTGTGGTAATAGTTAATACCAACAGGCAACTTTTGAGATAGGGAGCCACTCGAAAATCCGTACAGGAAACCAAAATGGTGGCCGTAAAAATGGCGCCATTAGCCGCAATATATTGTTTTGTATATCTGCTCCTAATAGTCCGATTTTAATTTTCTTTTTTTTTATTGAAAGCTCTTGTGACGAGGAAACTTTTTTACTATATAACATTTATCTCTAAAACTTAAGGATTTAGCACAATTTAAAAAAAGTGTTTTTTTACGAATTTGAATCACATGTAAGCTCTTAATTGTGCAATATCCCGGTCTTTTCGACAAAAAAGGCCATCGTTTAGAAATTCAATCGATACAACCCCAAAACTCCTTGTATCTACCCTGTAAGTTCGGAAAATTTCAATCCGCCATGTTTTTTTTTTAAATGCGCAATATTTGTTTCATCAGGCACGAGATCAAACAGTATGAAAATTGAAAGGAAAAGCCTCGTCAATTTTTTTCTCTGAAAAACAGAAAATACACTCTGCTTTTAAAATAATTAAAGAAACACTCAGTATATCAATTTTAACTCTTACTCTCGCTCTTACTTATCCTATTTTATTTAACTAGTTGGTTTAAGATACGACGAATGTGAAATTTGGAGTGCTTATTTATCAGATCATGGGTTTTTTCGAGGCTTTTCTCTGGGGTTTTCTTTAAGAATATTAACGGAATATTATGATTTCCAAGTTTATACCTATTCATATAAGTTGAATCATTTTTATTATACAGGGAATCCACCTTCTGTAAGCGGACGATAGAGTCTCAATTGTTGAGAGTAATGGTAACGGTTTGTTGGTACGAGAAGCCTGAGGGGAAGCCTAAAACGTTTTCCGGATATGCTTTTTATACAGGGTGAAAATCTTCAATACATTTTTTAAAGAAGCTTTTTATGACATCCATAATTTTAAAAAGTTTGCTACCAATCCACGTACATTCAATTTGGGGTCAGTAACATACTTCTGCACGGTCAAAGGGGGCATACTGTTTTTAAATAGCAACCACTATTTTCTTGACGTAGTGAATTATTTGTCGATGCAAATTGATACAATAAAACTCGTTTTTCAAATAATTGAATTTTAATATTTCTTTAGCTAATCGACTTCGAATCGTATAGCTATAGACCGATTCATCATCAGACCTTAAGAGTCAGAATATTGTGCTGAATAATACAAATCCTTACATATGTTACACATAAACATCGGGTTGAGCTTACTTGTGATTCAAATTCGTAAAAAAACACTTTTTTAAAATTGTGGTAAATCCTTAAGTTTTAGAGATAAATGTTATATAGCAAAAAAGTTTCCTCGTCACAAGAGCTTTCAATCAAAAAGGACTATTAGGAGCAGAGATACAAAAAAATATATTGCGGATAATGGCGCCATTTTGACGGACACCATTTTGGTTTCCTGCACGGATTTTCGAGTGGCTCCCTATCTCAAAAGTTGCCTTTTAGTATTAACTATTACCACAGAAAGTGGCATATTCCAATAAAAAAATGCAGTTTTTTTTTGGCGTCCCCAACGTACTAGTAGTCCGTGACCGCTCGCGAGAATTAGCTTAGAATGTACTCAAAATGTTACGTCACGTGCTTGGATTTAAACAAAACGAAACGAAACTCTTTAGGTTCGAAGAGATCGTGACAACGGCGTTCGCTTTCCCGAATACGATTCTTGATATCGCTCAGACATACTTTAGTTCATGTTCGCTATGAAGCGATATACGTGTAAACGTTCCTATTTTTGATCAAATTTTATTTTTGAAACGGCCACCTATTACTACACCATACTTCTAGAATTTGTATAATAATGAAGAGGTAAATGAATAAGGGGTTCCCAAAAAGATTAAATCTATGATATTTCTTAGAAGTATTTATTAAGCAGCTTCTAAATATACTACTAAAAAGGTTTTAAAAAGACATTACTAGGACCTCTACTAATTATATTAAAAATTCCATTTCATTTGGGCGGAGTGTATCAACAAAGTTTTATTTTTGAGTAAGCAAGGCTACTTTTTGGTAGAGTTTGATTATAATTTTGCATGAAATCAATCATTAATATAGATATAATTAGGCCTTAGATGCTCTTCTACTGAAATGGCATCCATTGTTACCTACTATATGACAATCCATAATGGTACATAGTTCGTACAATTAAAATGTGCTTTTATGTCTCATGGCCATAAACCGAACATTCATTACCTTGGAGAAATTTATATAATTAGCAGCGAATAATTACGTTTTAAAATTAAAATCGATAGCTCATTCCGTGTAAAATCAGAATTAATACATCACACATTTAGACAAAAAGTTGTATACCTAATATGCCAAAAGCATAATTACTTTATAGCAATATTAATGTGGCGAGAATTTTCATTTAATTATAATAGAATTCACATTCATACACAGCGGCAACGTCATCCTTATTACGGTCGTCATAGCGGCGACGAACGTTGCAGGCAATATTTTTTTTACCCTGCTAGACCTAACCCCCCCACTATTGTGAATCAATTTAAGAATGGTATCCAATTTATGAGTTATTTAGAAGCTTTTCATATCGTAAGCTTAAAATTTTAGAGCTCGAATCTAAAATTTCTTATGGGGTACATTTTTTAGTATGATAGTGAATGTTAAACTGTATTTTGTGCGCAAAGTGTACCGAAACATTAGCTCGAGTTCTGGACAAGACGAAGTGTCAATCGATTTTGTAAGAAATCGTGAGGCACTTTAAAACATGAAAATAAAAGGGGTATAAACACGCACAAGTCAAAACGGAAAAGCACTGGAGAAAGTCGAAAATATTCTCGAAATTTATTTTCATTCATTAAATAACAAAAACTCTTCTGAAGGACGCCTAATTTTATGCAACCAATATAGCTTCAGAACACAAATGAAGATTTGGCTGCCATCTTAATTAATTGGAATATTACTGCTTTGGTTTCCGTATTTTTATTTTCATGCAATGCATTCAACCGAAGAAAAAGTGGATATTGTTAATTGGTAAAGTGACGGTGACAGTTTAAGGAGCATAGGACTTATTTTCTGTGCTGATTACTTTAAAGTTAGTGGTTGTTTAAATGCGATCCAGATAAGATACCGTAAACAACCCTCAATTTTAATGCAGGATGTGAAACTGAATGTTTTATTGTGGAACAGAATCCCATAAGAAACTTAAGGGAAATAGCGGCCGAATTTAAGATCTTTTCATCATAACCTAAAACCATACTATGTACTGTCGTTTTTATTACAATCTAGAATGACAGTGCAAAATGCGTGCGCAAGTTATTTTGGTTGCATAAAATTAGACGTCTTTCAGAAGCGTTTTTGTTATTTAAAAGTAGACATAAGGAATACCTATGTCTACTTCTAAATGAATAACACTGTAGATGTAGACGCCGAAGAACTGGGATTTTCCGAATGAAGCTTGGCTGAAGGTTACGAGTGAATTACTAGTTCCGGTGGTGAGTAGCGTAGAGATGGACCGGTTTTCCCCAATGCTTATTCTGTTCTGTTTAGAAAGTGTAATTGCAGGTAGTAATCTTTTATTCTTTCTCCCACTAACTATCAATCTCTGAATTTCGTATCACAAATTGTTATTATTGTAGTGAATATTCCAGAAATCCCAATAGACATTGAGGTGCCATTAAAGATTCGTCAAAACTAAGTCAGAAAACCGCAACTGGTGATGAAGCACTCGTACTGGGAGAGCTGATTGTCGGTGTTGATGTTGGATTCAAGAAAGGTGCGCATCAAGTGTTGGTAGCAGACATCGTCGATGAGGGGATTTTAGGAATGGACTCGATAAGGAAATTCTGGTTCATGATAGACCTGAATGGAGAATGAAGAAGTTCCTATTCACAGGGAAGGAAACAAGCTGCTACGTGTAACGCTTGTGGATGATGTCACCCTACCCCACCCCGCCCATGTTGCCCGAAAGTTGCGATGAAATCTCCGGAAAAACTGCTTGGGTGTGATGGAACCCAGTTATACCAATATGGGTCGGGGAATCAATTCTTTCTTCAAAAATGACGTCGTCGAGCAAGTACCGCCATTAAGTTCGTGATATAAACCAAGAGTTGCCTGGGACTGTGCCTCCGCTACAACCGTCGCCCGTGTTTTAAGAGGAGGGGGAGGGGGGGGGGCAATGTAACGAATATTCCAGAAATCCCGATAGACATTCACGGTAATATGAAAAATCACATTACTTTGAAAATAAGCGGGCCTTAACAACCCCGCAAGTCGCCAGTTGAAACGTCAATAAACAACAAATAGTGAACAATAGCAAAATAAGAAGATTTTGAAAAACAATTTCCACAAACTTAAATTGCCCTGTAATCTAAATAGATCTAAATAGACTTGTTTTCGCAATTTCTACTTCTATCCAAATCAAACTTCTCCCAAATGGTTTGTTAAATTTATTAGGAAATGCCAAATTCGACCAGGATAACTATAATTTGTACGGGCCCGGTAAGTTATTGAAATGGTACGTAAACAGGTTAATTTATGGGCATAAACAATAAAGCTTTTAGTATAAATGTTTGGATTTTGAAAATGTATTTGATAATGCGTATGTTTGTTTATTGCGACGCCTAATTAAGAACTTGACGTTAATCTTTGCTTTTGACTTCGAATTTGTTAAAGTTAATCAATATTCACTTACTACCCTACGCAACTTCCTACGGACGAGGATTTATCCTGTACCGCGCGTATCGAAATGTAAACATTTTTTAAAATTCACCCCATAAATACGAATAACTTCCCGTGACATTTACCCCATTTTCGCCCAAGTAAATTCTAAAGAGACAATAATTAATTGTGAAAAATAATACCTTTATCATTATTGACAGCTTCGACGGCCAGTGGTAAAGCTCCTAGAACAACTTGTGCTTGTCCATAAGCTCCAAGGAAACCAATTGTTACGGTCTCAGCATCTTCATCGGCGCCCGCTTTTACAGTGGTAAAATCGTTAATGGTATAATCGTCCTTTTGAGATTCTTCGGCACATGACGAAAATGTCTCCGGTAATTTCTCGCCAATATCGAGATTTGTCATTTTACACATGGTCATTACAGAAAGTTGCATTACAATTCGTATATTACGGATTATATTTTTACCCTTTAGCAACATTTTATACAAACTTTCATTCTATATACAAGTTGACATGTAAAGTATTTTCGTAAATTTCTTTCTCATTTCCACAACACTTTTCCGCGCGGGTGGTTCAACGCACACTGAAACATGTCACCACCCTGCTGATTTTCCTGAATGAAATTTTCTAAACATCTCACGCAGGCGTTAACGTTGGTCCACATTCTCAAAGGTATAATCTACGTTTGCTCAGAAGACGGTCTTTAATCATGTGGACAAACATCATTTAGATTCCGCATGGCATGCTACCCTATTTAATATAGTAAATTTAGAGTTCTTTTCATTTCACATTAATAAATTGGAGAAGGGAAGGCGATGTTGTTAGAATATCAAGTTCAGAATACGATTTGAAGTATGTGGAATAACCCTCCACACTTTTTGAGAGTAGATGTTAGGGACGCTTAAAGATTGAAACTCGGGCGATACTGGGAAAAGTTGATCAAAAGTGTTATTCGAGAAAGCGTACTACTGTGATTGAAAGGAATCGCGTCTGTGTGTCACATACGTATTTGTCAATCCCTTCCTTATAATCCATCAATGGATCGTTTTCTATAACATATCCCTGCCCGCATGTGATGCTAAAAGTTGCTGCAATTAAGGAGAAAATTATCGTGAAATCACCAATAGATATCTAGGAAAATTCCCGGGCTTTGTTTACAGGTTCTTCATTTTTCAACTCATTCAACACGCCAGTTTTAGTTTATGTTCCATTAAATCACGTAATCGATAGCAGTGGAATCTTATCAGGTAGTTTAAAAGCCGTTAGTACGATTAGCAACAGATGCTTTATTTTATAGCAATTAGCAAGCTGCAGGAGCCATATAAATCATTGTAAAGCTTCGAACAATTCTGAATATAATTTAGAGACGTCAAAAATAGCGTAGAGTCCGCCGTCGCGATCTTTTCCATAGAAAAAGAATTGTCATATGTTCTGAACGTCATTTTATATCGTGCATTCAAAATAAGAATAACATATGTCATTAGAATACACAACCATCTGTTTTACTTTATCTACTCCAGTTAATGTAATCACTTTATCTATCCTTACGGTTAAAGAACGGCTTAGCCTACTCATTCAAACATATTAAAATGTTAATTTAACATGTGCTATAAAATAAAGTAATATAAAACAAAGAATTTAGTGCTAAATACCATACATCGAATTAAAATGTATCGAAAAATAAGTGCTTTATGAGCATTTTTTTATTAAGTTACAAATTTGCCGTATAGGAAATGTTATACGTGTACCGCTTCATAAGGCAACGGAACCAATATGCGAGAAAATAAAGCGCGTTAGGATAAGAATCGTATTCAAGCAGAGTCAAAACGCTACAGTATTGCCGGTTCTCTTAACCGTCATAATGGAGAATGAGAGACGGTGTTTTTGCTATGTATGTATAAAAATAGTGTGAACGCTTAGGTTTCGTTGGTGTCATACATAAGTAAAAATTGGGTGGGAGAAAAGCACTCTTATTCAAACTTTTGAAGCGAATCTATGCAGCTCGAGCGATGCGTTTTCCGATCGCGTATTGGTGTCTTAGCCAAACCTTCGGGGCGTAGATTGCGTAACACGAAATTTTTCTCCGGGCTTTAAAAGCAAATCTTTCAATTGTGTACGCAATATTTTTGAGTAAAATTTCATAGTTAATTAAGTTCGAACCGAAAGCCGTATACACAACGACAGTATATAAAAGATTCGTTAGACCCGCAACCGAAACTCGACGCATTTATTGTCGTGGGTACTTTATCCATTCAGTATGAGGTGCCCTTTCGAACAAAACAATAATAAGTGGCGTACACGGTATGTTCAACTGAAAATACAGTGCGAATCAGTTACCTCCTTACTGTGTATGAATATTTGCGGATCGCATTTACATAAATTGTTGCCACGAAAGCGTTCGGATCCAAGGTACAAAACGGTCATTATGGATATATTTAGAGCGGTTAGACGATTAAAAAAAAACAAGTTTGTCAATCAAAACTGTGCACCTCTCTTGTGTATACAGGGTGTTATTTAAATCTACATTAAGCGGCAACCAGTAAAAAAGTTATAGACAATTAATCGTGCTTTTGTTGGCTGTCAAAATTCTAAGTTATAAGGGTAATTTTGGACATTTCATACTGCGGAAGATTGATTATTATTCCACCAAATAAACCAAATTTCAATATATCAATATGTTTCTATTAATAACAGCTAATGCACAAATGCGTTTAATATACAAATCGTCCATTCACACATACAGAATCTTGTCTTTTACGTTACCAAGATAACATAGTAAATTGCGAGAAATCTGAAGCACGGTTTGTTCCGGATTCAATTTTGTCACCCATCTTTCAAAATGCCATTGGCGGTACTTACGATAAAGTTAAAAGAACGCAATGTACATCCCGTCCAAACTAATTACTTCGGAATCCCAAAGTTATGAATCCGATCCCCAGAAATCAATATGTACGGAAGATGACAATTAAAATTCCATGCGTTCTAACTTACGCTTTCAGCTGTTTGATTAAGCGAGATGTCTATTTTTATTTGGTCTAGTTATCAGTATCATCTGTTTTCGCTTTCGAGAATTACGTAAAGTTCGTAGTAAAGTTAAGTACAATTTAACTTAACCAGAATCGCGTTCCATTAATAAAGTTGTACAGTGTAGAGTAAGTAATTATTCTTTGGTTCAAGAGGGATTATACGTGTAAAAGCGAAATAAATCCATAAAGAGCGTTTAAAAAAGCGGCAGAGCGTCTCGTTGTGACTCCACGGAGTCATTGGATTTGGCCCATTTTCAATAGGCTTGTTACATGTGGCATATAGGTCAACTGTGCAAAGTTTCAACCGAATAGGTTCAAGCGTTTGGCAGGGACAGAGAGGCGTTACCCCACGGGGTCATTGGATTTGACCCATTTTCAATAGGCTTATTACATGTGGCATATAGGTCAACTGTGCAAAGTTTGAACTAAATAGGTTCAAGCGTTTGGCAGAAACAGAGAGGGAATCGACCCATTTTCAATAGCCTTATTACATGTGGCATATAGGTCAACTGTGCAAAAACTAAATTGAACCAAATCGGTCCAAGTGTTTTACAGTTATCGTGTTCACGGACAGACGGGCAGACGGACACCATCGACTCCCCTATAAATCCTGCATCGCTTTGCTCTGCCGCTTAATAACGACTAACGTGCGTAGGGACCAATAACAGAGAGTTATTTAATAACAGTTTTAAAACTGCAGTCCCCTTTAGATCCATAATCTAGTAAATTAGGACAAACCAGAAGATATCACCACGACACGAAGAGAGGTTCCGATTCTGTATGATATGGAAGTCAATATTTCAGAGGTATTGTAAATTTTCCTTTTACATTACAGTATAAAAGCAGTACTTAATTGGTTCCTTTTAAGAATGTTGAGTAATAATTACAAGTTTCATTGATGTTAATAATTAAAGAAGCATTTTTTGTTTGGGTCTTAGAACGATACAAATCTCCATGAATTGGTTAATCAAAGCCTAATGCTATTTTGTGAAAATTTATTAATTAAGTACCGATTAGCAAAGGGTTAGTTTTTTAGGTAATTTCCATTAAATTTGAAAATTTCCTGTAAATGGATACAAATTTATTAGTCCTAAGGTGCATCTTATTGTTGCAAAAATGAAGCGTATTTTTAATAGATATTAATAGACAAACGTATTTTTAATTTCTTATGGTTATTCAAATAGGAGTATAAATTTAGAATTTCAGAGTTTTATAATTTTGAAAGCGTGAATGCATTAATCAAAGTTATGTAAGTATTGTTATGCGAAAATTTATTACCTAAGAACCGATGAGCAAGTTTCTTAGTTGGCTCTCAGGCAGTCATTATTTAATCACTAGGACACCCAGGTTAAATGCATGGATATCCTTTCTCTTTTGATTTGTTTTATGTTGCCACAGCTCTCTCTGGCTACACATTTACTCACAGGTAAGATTTTTCTTTTTCTTATGAATGCATTTGTGTTTTCTTTATCGAAACAGTTATTGAGCGTTGTCATATTGTGTTGTAAGACTTCTGTGTATTCCCGCCTGTAATGTTTATGCGATCATTGTTGAATTGGGGGGTTTTAATTAGACGTTAAACTTGCTAAGTGTTTTGAGTTAAGTTTAATCAATAATTTTGAATATGGGAGAGGGGGGAGGGTATTTTGTATCTGTAGAGTTTTTCTATCCAATTTTGAGGACAGTTTTGTTTTGATAGTGACTAGAATAAACTGGTTTTTTAAAAGAATTAAAGAAACTGGGTGGCGTTCAACTCTGTGGTAAGTGCAACGAAGTACCGAAGATACTCTAAACGAATCGACCGCTGTGCAAGAAGTCAAGCCTTTAATTTTTTCCAACCCTGAGTTAGTTGGTCGTTTATGTGGCGAGTTTGAGTTAAAGCAGTGCCAACCCAATCTTACCGTTATAACTTCCGCAACAAAGGGTCGGCAGGGTATAAATACGGAAACCAAAACGCCAATATGACACTGATGACACTGATCGTTTGGCTCTAATACATCACTATCCGCGTTCGCGGTCTTCCTCGACCGGCGTATCTCGGTGCCAACGCCTACATGAGTATATTTGTATATAATATGTGTAATATGTATTGTAATCTTAGGTTTCATTGTTAATAAACACCGTCACTGTTAATTTTTCCACACAGCGGTAACAACTGATTATTTCTTCGGGTGTACTCTGCACGGACCGGCTACAGAATTTTTGCTAATTGCACCGCCGTGAAAATTTTCAAAATTCTTGCTTTCTTCCTTGGAATAGCTACGAAAATCCTGGTCCTCAACGCGAAGGTAACTTGATGTAGACGATTGCTAGCTCTTGGCTTAATTTCTTTTTTTCGGAATCGACCCAATGGACCACTCATTTCGCGAATGGATATTATGCATTTTATGCTGAGGTTCCGACCTTTCGAACGAAGATGGTTTGTTTGCGTATATATTGCTGAATTTACGATTTACTTACTTTTGAAGACGCATAGAGTTGCATTATTTTATTTTTGGACAAATTTACTCGTATTATTGTTATATTAATATTGTTTGGATACATTCTCAATTAATTTGAAATTGTATACCTACTGGTGCACTGATTTCGTACTATGGAAGTTTGCTTTGTGCGTTGATGTGTATTTTGTTTCCCAAACAGCAGAGTGATATTGCTTGCGGCTTATGGTATTTTTCTAAGTTCTGTAGTGTAAAGTTTTGCCGAACGTTAAATTTAATATAGTGGCGTGTACTGGAAGGATTTTGTTTTTGCTCATTTTGTGGCCTACGCCGAAAAGCCTACTTTGAGTGAGCTACCGAGTTGTGTTTGTGTCAGGTGGACTGGCCTAAGCAAAGTGAATTCCGCAGGTTTATTTAACCCAGAATTGACATTGCACCTACTACAGGAACCAGGGGGATCAAACAAGGATGTCCGCTTCCCCAAGGCTCTTCGCGATAGCACTTGACCACGCTATAGAACAAACAAGGATGGTGGTGACGAACCTTAGCACAGGCGGCCAATTACTACTACCGACATTACTGGCGTACGCGGACGATCTATTTGTAATCCCGAATAATTTATAAGACACTGAGGACTTCGTCCAGGCCAGCGTGATACCAGGTACACCTGGAAATGGTGGACCTACAAATACACAACGAAAAGAGCTACATGATGACAAGAGTGCCAAGAAACAACACCCCCAGTACAAAGAAGGAGAGAAGACCATAATAGCCGAGAAGGAGATAACCATGAAGCACAAGATCAAATATCTGGGAACGTACATAAGCAGCACCCTCAGCAGGCACAACGCAGTGCAAGACAGAATAACCAACGCATTCAGAAGCACACACGGAATCTGGAACTTCTTACGAGAGAAGAAAATACGGGGCAGCTGGAAAATGATGATTTACAACACGAACATAGCACCGACAATGTTATACGGAATTAACACTTCAGCGCTAACAAGGAGCAACAGACGAACATTGAGGAGGGCGGAGTGGAAGGCACTCAGGATACTGAAGAAAACAGCAACCTCACAAGAAAGCAGAGAAGAGAACTACTAGAAGGAAAGACGACTACCAGGAGACTGAAGATGATTCAGAGGAGATACTGGACATACCAACAAGAGGAACAAAGACCATATCATACGGGCTGCCAAGATTCTGTGTGCCTCGGAATGGAAGGTACGCCGACCCTGCCACACATGGAGCACCACCATAAACCAAACGGTAGAGGTCTCGGGGATTACCATGGGAAGATGGGAAGAAAAGAGCAAAGACACACATCAAGGAAAAAAGAAAGCAGAAGAATACTGGAGTTGGAGGAAGAAGCCAAGGGGAGGGGGAAAAGAGGACAGAAAGTAACGCAGGGAGAGGACAACAATAAAAAGGGCCTAACGCATCCTCACGACAGTTGACTAAATCCTTAGACCATATAGTACATGGACTGCTATTCGCCCTATGCTTTCAATACAAAATGGATGGTCACGGATAGAGGGCACTGTAGTCGTGGGTATGTGAATCTCAGGGTAAACTAAAGTCGTGTAAACACCACTAGGATCGCTTAAAGAGCAGCATTATAGTAACCGCGTAGTACGGGAAGCTTTAAATGCTCTTCATTATTTGCTATACGTCCACAAATAAGAATAAGTTTGTTTTTTTGGGATATCTAGGCGATTAATTAATTGACGTTTGTTAATTTATAGGTTGACAGTCTCAAATCGTGTCTCATCGGACAACTTCGGCCAGACTCGTTTACCCTGAAACTCACATACCCAGGCGATGTCCTTGACCATATTTTAGTTACAATTAGCAGTCCATGTACTATATGGTCTAAGACTAAATCCTGGGAGAGGCGGCGACGCCAGGCATATGTCAAAGTTTCAAGTTTCAATTGACATTGCACATACTACAGGAGAGTATAACGAGCAATGAAGTCAAAACTAAATAAAAAGGGGCAGGATTGGTGAGAATAATAATAAACGAATTAAGCGGATAAGTTTTTAGTCGGTTACTAATCTCCGGTGAAATACAAGTTCAGTCTTTTATAGGGCAAGAAGGAGCACAAACAAGAGGAGATATAAAAATGCATTTCCCTTCCAATGGATGGGACAGTAGCAGTCGAAAATGTAAAGTAATTATGTGGTTAATATTTTGACTAGAGGGACTTAAAGGTTAACGTACGTACGATTTAGAAAGAAGACTATTCTCAAAACATACCTCATTAGCCCTATGTGAGGCATTTCCACTTATTTATGAAATCTTTACAGAGCTAAGGTATGGATATGTTCCATTTGATGGAACAAGTTAGGGGAGCCGAATTTGGGAAGTAACTCTAAAGAGGTCCAGCGATTGGAGCGACTTGAAGGAAATGGGGAAGCTATATGGTGGACTGGACAGGTACTTTTAAAAAATGTTACGCACGATTCAGTAATTGAAGAAAAGTCACGGTTTGGCAATGATTGAATGTGTTAACCCACGGTATGGGTACATATCTACTAACTTTACACAACAATAGCACAACACAGACGTCTACAAAACACGACTTAACGGTGTACTTCTTTCTCTTCTACCAACTGTACTTGGTCAAGTTGTTGCCCATTATCATCTGTAGGCACCATTTTGTAGTCCCATGCTTGTGCCTAGCCAAATAGGAAAATGTACACAATATTAATGTACACGTAGGTATGTACAACTTACATCAGCGGAAGCGAATGCGAGATAGACCAAACATGAAGTCAATAGCACCACGCCCGAAGAATAAAATATTACCTGCCAAGCTCCCTCTGGGTCCTAAAGGTAATCGCATGAGGAAACAAAATAATATGTACGAAACTTATTACCAAGCTCTTAAATAACGATTTTGCGACGTAAGTAGCGAAAATGTTCGGAAGTAACAGCAACACTTGAATAAAGCTGGTCACTGAACCCGTTAAGTTTGGGGCGATATCTACTATATTGACCATGGCGCCAGGAAAACAGGCCATAGAAAAAATTTGTGAAAGCGCCCAAACGGTCAAGTTCAAATGTGTATCGCATCCCAAGTGATTTATGAGTACGCAGCCCAGACCAGGCAGGATCATTCCTGTTAAAAGGTGTAACATCGCAATTATACGAATTATTATAGGTTACCTACCTATTCCTGTAAATAATTTGCGAATATTTCTTGTCGAAATAAAATTGTACATCAGTAATTTATCTGCAAGGTACGAAAACATTAAGGCAGAGAGGAAGTTCCCAAGGCAGATAACTCCGCCCCAAAGCCCGTTCTGGAAAACAAACTTGATTTACTCGAGTGACACATATTAATTACCATTTCTGCACTCAACCCAATTATTGATTTGAGATACATTGGTCCGTAGATTTGTGCATTCGTGGTAAACCACATTCTACCACACTGGGATATTCCAATGGCCCAAACCGGGAGAGATAGGACAATGCACTTCCAAGGTATGATCCGTTTATTTGGATCCAAAATGTCTTCTCTGTGTCTCGAAATGTAATGTAACTCTTTGTATTCTATGCGGGGATGGAGTTCTGGTTTGTCGAATGCTAAGAAGTACCATGCAAGACACCACAGAATACCTGCAACGAGTCCAAAATCAATTCCTATTGAATTCCACTTGTTGATTACCTAACGTTCCAGAAACATAGAATACGTATTTCCACCCAAGCGATGCAATTATAAATCCCGATATTATTAGTGAAATGGCCATACCAATTGACAAACCTTGCAAGCAAGTCAAAAACCGACCTTGTTCGTGCTTAGGTATCCACCAACTTACTAAAGAGTATAGTGCTGGCCAAACTACCCCCTAAAATTGCAACTTGAGCAAGTTTACGTGATCAATTAATCTAACCGCTCCCAATCCGTTCAAAAGTTGCAAAATGATCACAACCACATAGCTCATGTCGCTTCCAAACGGAATGCACATATTACATATTGCCGAGATGAACATTCCTATACCAATCACAACCTTTGCACCAAACTTATGTGCCATTATTCCTCCAACCACTTGTCCACTGATGTACGTCCAGTAATAGGAGGTAAGTATGTAATATTGCACATCTATGGACCATTGGAAAGTACCACCATAGCTCTACAACATACTGAAGAATTGACTAACGTCAGTCGTAACCTTACTTTCTGTATAGCAACTGTATCGTTCCTCACATAACACAACGTTTGACTGACGTTTTTAGGGGGGTATTCATTGGTTCCTGCTTCTTTAACCATCGCTAATATTGATATATTCATCCCTATTCGTAAAATAAAACTAACCGCGATGCATGTTGTCGCTAGAAGGTATAAAGATATTCGAGCCGGTATCTTCGCTAGAAGAATCATCAGTCATTTATGCTCATCATTATCTTAGACGGATTACCAAAAGTAGAAGACCTCGACATTTTGATTCTGCTAATAACTTTTTTTGCTGGTGGATACCTAGAACAGGTACTTCGAACATGAAGAAGTAATTACTTAATTTATTACCTCGTTCAGGTATATCAATAGTATCTTGAGTAACTCCCCAAAAAATCGAGGAAATGGTACCCCGAGTTTTCTAAAGGTGAGATGCTATCGTATGTATCCTACGAACTACGCACTACTCAGTACCTAACCTAATGAGTAGTGCTTTTTGGTTAATTATTTTAATTACCTCTCATTCAAAGTCAAACTATTTTTCACTAATAGTCTTTTTAACCGTCATTACTTCCGTAATTGGCAAATTTTATTAAAACCTTGAGTAGGCGTACATTTCAAGAATTAGTTATCTTATAAACAAGAATGCAGTCATTTATAATATGTTTCACAGTTTCGGATTATCAAAGTATGCATTATGCCAGTAGTGGCACAATTCCGCGACGTTAGCACCAAGTACACCATAACTTTGATTGAATCCGGTAAAATGAATAAGTTGCAAAAACGGATTAGGGTTGATCGTTGCTACTGCACGTGCGGTTACGTTCCTTGACGATCAAAAACATTTAAATATAACGTAGCGTCGCGCTTAGTTCACCGTGAGATCGGTAAAACTAAAAATCGACATACGTCTTAGCAGAAATGTTAGTGTAACAGCGGCGCCCAAATATTTCTCCTTTAACCTCATGGGCTAATCGTTATTCGACCTCATCCATTTTATGGACTGTATTTAATGTTTTCTCCCGACCTCTTCGGTATTTACACAGAGTTCAGGAGAGACCGTGCCGAGAAAGAAAAAGGATAACCAAGGATGCACCAGTGGTCTAAGTTTAAGCAAATAGTTTCATTTGGTAGTAGTAAAAACCCATCCTTCCCCTCCCCATTTTTCTGACGTCACAGTGCTGCATTGTCATTGGCTGCGCCATTTCGTTGCCGTAAGTTTGAATTTAGGGTTGGAGGGCATTTTGTAGAGATAAGCTTGAATTTGTGCGAGATTTTTTGAATTTGCTGATCTTTGCCATTTTGTTATTGTAAATTGTGTTCGAGATTTGAATTTCCTAAAGTCTGCCATATTGTTGCAGTAAATTTGAAATTGTACGGCAAATTATTTTTTACTGCGATTATCTGTGTCATTTTAGTTATACCGGGTGTAATGATAGTTATATACAGGGTATTTGTGATGGGTGCTTTTGTACCGGTGCCAATAAGTCGTTAAATGGTCGGCGATTTTGTTCCGGGGAAACCAAATTAAATCACAAATCACGTGCTTCGTTATATTTGTAGATAAATATACAAGGTGTAATGGTAGTTAGGCTATTTTGCTCCGGGGTGTCATAATGGCACTAATCTGCCGGACATTCAGAGATAATTTTTATACCGGTAAAATTTAGAATTTGTCATAGTTATTATTGGACGTAGACGGTAAATTTTCCTCGGAATGCTTCTGGTTGTAACATTATACCCCAGAAGGCTGGACCCGAAGGTAGTGAAAGTTGTCATTCCTTAGTTACACTCCTTTTTTAAATAAAACTAGTTACAAAATGGCCGATCAGTTAACGACCTATTGGAACCTATACAAAACACCCAGCGCAAATACCCTGTATATAACTATCATACATCCTGTATGATGCAGCCAATCACAATCACAGTAATAAATTCAAATTCCCCGCACAAATTCAAATTTACCGCGCCAATTCATAAAACAGCATAAGTCATGGCTATTGCTACCAGCTTAATTACTTAAATAGTACTTTCGGCTTAAATATAACGAGGCGAGGATATAAACCCGACGGTACATTGTCTCCACAATTTTTGTCTTCCAAATTTTACACAATTTGTTAAACTCTTCCGAATTACTTCAAGAAATTAAGCTTAAGGTACCATTTGTTAAGCTAAGGCCAAATAATACTATTTCTGCAGTTAGTAACACAACTTCCCCACTTATTAAAATCTTGATCACTTTAAATAAGTTGTCCTCAGTGAATGATATCGACTTTTTTCACGATTCCCTAAATGCAATAATAAATCAAATTAGATTAGGTCCTAATGTTTGTTCTGAGCCCCAGTCCCATGTAATTGGAATTTTTATTCTGTATGGTTTCTGGTTAAACAAATAAATAAAAAAATAAATAATAACAGAAATGCGGATATACCAAAAGCTTAATAAAACATGTAAACAGTTTTGCATGCACCTTTTAATTCTGAACAACTTTAAACTCTACAGTTTTTTCTGTAAAATGTACAGGAGGGCAGGATATTCCATAAAACTAATTTCCTATGTTAAATCCCTATGTTCCTACTTACCGTGCACCACCCGATATATCTGCAATGTCAACATCTAAATTTTTAGTAAAAAGGGGATCCATCAACACGTAGTCGGAGAAAGTATTAATATCAAAACAGGCTTCCGCAGAAACAACGAAGCAGTACCTAATCGTTACATGAATCTCAAAAAATAATAGTGATAGTAATTTAATTACAATTCGAGTGTATCAAAAACCAGTATGTAATCAAACGGTATATCACAAAGTCGTCGAAAAAAATGTATTTTGAACTTCAGGTCTCAACCTTATGAGCTCAGAAGGGCGCGTTCTGCCAATCTGTCACAGACAGCATCACAAACAAATCCGTAAAGAGGGTAGTGAATAACGCAGCACGTAAAATATGACACTGAGGCAAATTATACTAAACCGTAAGTAATACTCAATAAGAATCAATGATTCAACTTACGTTAACTAACCACAAGCAAAATTTTGACTTGGCAATGGATTATACTTACAACATCGGGGTATAAAAGTATAAACGTGACGTTATCTTCAAGAAAACTACTTTACGATGCACAACTAACTAAATTTCTATTCAAAATCAATGCAGTCTCATAAATTGAGAATGTAAATAACGTAGTATGGACAAATTCTTCGGAGTAAAATAAATATCGTAACCAAAAATTGTAAATATCGGCTTCGGACAAAGTCCCATTAACTTCAAAAACTAATTTACAAAGCAATGATAGCTAACATCTCAAATAACACAGCTAATGTAAAGGATACAATGTAATCAAACTAACAGAAACGGAGGCGCAAAGGTAGATCAAACCCGGTCTCGTAAATGTCGGGCGATCAAAAATGAGTGACTGTCGAGTCGCCTTTGGAAGTTCAAGTTAAGTATTTCCCATGTAAACAAAATTCCAAAGGTGACTCCACGGTTACTCATTGTGTATGCATATCTTCGTAGCGACACAGTTATAATATAAGTAAAATCGGACATATCGGAACAATTTACAAGGTCGTTAACCTTCCAAATGGTTCGTTCGGTTACAATTCAGGATCAACTATCGAAGTGTAGGTAGGCAAACAAATTCCACGTAAGTAGGTCAGCAGGTTTGGTTCTACTGAAATGGCGGTCGGATCTGCCGGTAACGTAGAAACTCATCGATCGCATGCTTGAATTGATAAGATTGCACCAAGGCGGTGGAACTTACCAAATTAATTGTCCTTGCCCAATATTGAAAAAATCCAAAATTGTGCAGTTTCCACTCGGCAATATCGATGTAGCAAGCAACAATCGGGTAGATAATAATGAAGAAAAGAGAATGCTGAAGCAAGAATCCGTAACGGCCTTAGAACCAGTAAAATATATCCACAAACAGCGTCACCGAAGTGTCGAAAGTAAAATAACACAGAAAAACTTCACCAAAAGACAAAAGACAAAAAAAAAGTCGAGTAACCACTATGGCGTGTACGTTGTTCTTACAAATAATGGTTGAATGTCGTTTTGTACAAAGAAGTGCGTGGCGCCGAAAGGAATTAAAAAATACGAAGCAAAGAACTATTGTAGTAAGAAAACTTGGATGTCCTCTATCGGCAAACTATGGTAATAAGAAATAGGTTGCTGAAATTTACGTACATCGTAAACTAGTCGATTACAAAGAAAATACCTAGATGGCGTAAGAATATTGAACTTAAATACCAAATTTAAACGTATGTAGAAAAATGCCACTGGTTCATGAGGAATGTTTCGGGTGCAGAATATGATGGGTGGGTTGATCTTCCAGTGTCGAGAAGGGGTCTCCGGACGAGTACCTAAATGTTGTATGTTGAGTGGTTTTGCCACCATGCTGGTAAATATTTCTTCATCGCAACGGAATGTTGGTAGATACAATTTAAATTCTTTAAATATGTCGTAGGCTTTCATTCGTGAAGTATCTTATTAAATGTAACAATGAGTACTCAAATATTTAACTGACACACGTCAACTGGAGATAGATTTCCGGTTTTATATGCATGCACTCCTGTCTGTTTATAGAGGAGGAGGCGTGGTATGATACATTTATTACAACACATTTTAACGGGATTTTATGTTAGATTCATGTTTAATAAATTTAATAAATCAGACGTCTTCAAAGGACGTTTTAACTGTGTGCTTCTTCCTCTTCTGCCAACTGTACTTGGTCAAGATGTTGTCCATCATCATCTGTAGGCACGATTTTATAGTCCCACGATTGTGCCTAACCAATTAAAAAAAAATTTACACAATATTAATTTACACGTGTGGAAAACTTACATCCGCGGAAGCAAATGCGAGATAGAACAAACATGAAGTCAACAGCACTAAACCTGAAGAATAAAATATTACCTGCCAAGCTGACTCTGGATCCTAAACGGAACCTCGTGAGGATACAAAATAATATGTAGGAAACTTACCAAACTATTGAAGAAAGATTTTGCGACATAAGTTGCGAAAATAGTCGGAAGTAACAGCAGCACCTGAACAAAGCTTGTCACTGAACCCGTGAAATTTGGGGCGATATCTACTATATTGACCATGGCGCCAGGATAACACGCATTCGAGAGCATCTGTGAAAAAGCCCACACAGTCAAGTTCAAATATTTATCGCATCCCAAGTGATTTATGAGTACGCAGCCCAGACCAGGCAGAATCATTCCTGTAACAAGGTGTACAATTGCATGATACGGATTGTAGGTTACCTATTGCTGTGAATAATTTGCGAATATTTCTTGTCGAAATAAAATTGTGCATCAGTAATTTATCTGCAACGTACGAAAATATTAAGGCAGAGAGGAAGTTCCCAAGGGAGATAACTCCACCCCAAAGCCCGTTCTGGAAAACCAACATGATTCACTGAAGTGACACATATTAATAACCATTTCTGCACTCAACCCAATTATTGATTTTAGATACATTGGTCCATAGATTGGCGCTAATATGATAAACCACATTCTACCACACTGGGATATCCCAATGGCCCAAACCGGGAGAGACAGGACAATGCACTTCCAAGGTATGATCCGTTTATTTGCAACCAAAACGTCTTCTCTGTGTCTCGAAATGTAATTTAATTCTTTGTATTCTATGCGGGGATGGAGTTCTGGTTTATCGAATGCTAAATAGTACCATGCAAGACACCAGAGAATACCTGCAACGAATCCAAAACCAATTCCTATTGAATTCCACTTGAATGATTACCTAACGTTCCAGAAACGTAGAATACGTACTTCCACCCAAGCGATGCAATTATAAATCCGGATATTATTAGTGAAATGGCCATACCAATTGACAAACCTTGCAAGCAAGTCAAAAACCGACCTTGTTCGTGCTTAGGTATCCACCAACTTACTAGAGAATATAGTGCTGGCCAAACTACGCCCTAAAATTTCAGCTTGAAGAAGTTTACGTGATCAATTAATCTAACCGCTCCCAATCCGTTCAAAAGTTGCAAAATAATCACAACCACATAGCTCATCTCGCTTCCAAACGGAATGCATATATTACATATTGCCGAGATGAACATTCCTACACCAATCACGACCTTTGCACCAAATTTATGTGCTGTTATTCCTCCAACCACTTGTCCACTAATGTACGTCCAGAAGTAGGAGGTAAGTATGTAGTATTGCACGTCTATGGACCATTGGAAAGTACCACCATAGCTCTAAAATGTACTCAAGAATGCGGTAGCACCTGATGGCGCAAAACTTACTTTCTCTATGGCAACTGTTTCGTTCCTCACATAGCACAACGTTTTACTGACGTTTGCAGCGAGATCCTCATTGTTCCGTACTTCCTTAACCATCGCCAATATTGATATACTCATCCCCGTTCGCAAAATAAAACTAACTGCGATGCATGTTGTCGCTAATAGGTATAAAGATACTCGAGCCGGTATCTTCCCTGGAAGAATTATCAGTCATTTATGCTCATCCTTACCTTACACGGATTACCAAAAGTAGAAGACCTCGGCATTTTGATTGGCGGATACCTAGAACAGTACATAGAACATAACTCCCTACAAGGAAGTAATTACTTAATTTAGTAGGTACCCCTTTTAGGTATGTCAATAGTATCTTGAGTAACTAAACTGAAATCAAGAAAATTGTGTCCCTGAGTGATTTGCTATTGTGACCCACCTATGCAGTATCCATGAGCGCTTTTTCATTAATTGGGTACTTTAATTGCCTCTCATCCAAAGTCAAACTGTTTCTCACGAATCAAGTTTAATTGATCTCATTGTTTTAGTGATTAATTCTTACAATTAAAACCTTAAGAACGCCGACATTTCCAGAATTAGTTATCATACAAAGAAGAATAAACAAATGTGTACCTATATTTTTTATTCACAGTATCCAACTTAGAAGGAAAGTGAAGGTATGCATCAACCATTAATAAATTATATTATATTTGAAAATCTTGAAGGAAGCACGTCTAACTGAAGGTGCAGCTCAAATCAAACATGTTCCAAATGTAAAAACAGCGCAAAATGGTTGGATTGCATGAAGCAAGGTGCGTTGGGGCCACGAACTTATAAATTAAGATGGACTGCTGATCAAACAGTTGCATAGAGGTAGAAATGGCCCTAACATGGGCGCGGCCTTGATGTGTACGTTTTAGTTATTTTCTAGGGGAATTTTCCTAGTGCTCAAGTCACAGTAATTTATTTAGAAAACGTGAGGTTAATGCTTGTTTATAGTTGATTTGAATCTCGCGCCAAATGAGTGCACATCATGGCTGCCCCCATGTAGGCGTCATTTGTCAATTCAGCATTAGCAGTCAATCTTAATTTATAAGTTCGTGGTTGGGGCACTTTAGAAGATTTCAAATCGAAGAAAGGCAAACTTTCTTTGATGGTCGTTCTCGATTGGTTTTCCTCGATTAGTCATGTCAGTTGAATCCCTCAGTAACCACGGATGACGATGGCAATTGTTTGCGTCAGATCGACTGACCTAATCACAAACCCAAGAGATCAATTAAGTTTTAACGTGAAGTCGGCACCTTTAATTAACCTACCCCAATTGGCGTTACGAATAGTACAGTCGAGTATGACGGGCAATGAAATCAAAACTAAATAAAAATTTGGATGACTGGTGAGAATAATAATAATTGAATTAAACGGAAAATAGATTAAGAAAATTGATTCAGGCTGGCCTGAAATACACGGGAATAAGTTTCTTACCTTACACATTAAATTCAGGTGGATAATCTAATGTTAAACGTTGTATTGTTGTGTGGTATTGCCATCCTGATGGTAAAGATTTCCGCTTCGTAACGGGATGTGTGGGAGTTGCAATTTAAATTCAGTGAATAAATCGTAGTTTTCCTCAAGTCGTAGCGTCGTACCTACTTCTCTGCGTTTTGTTTTCCCTCATTTTTCCTCATTTCCGTCCAGCCTTATACGTAATAATATTGACTAAATATCCAGAACTCCATTCAAAATACCTTACGGTGTTCTATAGAAAGTAGTTTTGTGGTTACCTAATATTTTGATTGTATCGATTAAAAGGATAGACACTTAAATAGTAAGTTAAGTAGGATTTAGAAAGAGGATTATTCTCAAGACACGTGTTCCACTTTTGTATGAAATATTTTGACGATTAAAATAAGTTAGATATGTTCCTTTTAAGGCAACATATTAGGAGAGCCGAATTTGGGAAGCGTCCCCAAAGTAAGTCCAATGAATCCTGACCTGAAGGAAGTGGGGAAGCAATATTGTGGACTGGACACGTTATCTTAAAAAAGTTGCAGTAGTCATGGTTTGGAAATGATTGATCGTGTTCTTATTGAGATGAGGAAAGGTCTGCACAACATAACCCCAAAATATATAAATTACTAAAGTCAGGTTGGCACTTAAGCGGCTGTGTCTAGGGGCGAAAATGTTTCTACACAGCAGAGCTGGGCAGAATATTTTCAAAAAGTATTTGAATACTGAATAGTAAATACTTTACACAAATCAAAGGTATTTGAATACTAAATACTTTTACGTCCAGCACAAGCGAATACTAGATACAGATACATTGAAAAGTATTCAAATACTTAAAAAAATAAATATTCAAATACTTTAGAATGTATTCAAAGTATTCGAATACTTTGAAAAGTATTTCATTATCTTACTTTGAAAAGTATTCGAATACAGTAAAAAGTATTCAAATACTTGTCACTCAAATACATTAAAAATTTAAAATAGTAAATTAATACTTAATACTACTACATCATACTTTGTATGGGGTTAGCTTTTTTTATATTTCTATTGTTATATACAAATTTAAGGGGAGTAAAAGCGTATCATTATTATTATATTATTATATAGGAGGTACCTACCAGGACCTTTCTTACCAGTTATATCCTTAAGAATACGTGTACCAGTTTTCAAAGCTTCGTGCACATGAGACGTACCCCTTCCTGAAATTAATCCTAGCGATTTTGGAACAGATCCATTTTTGACCATCCGTTTGTCAGTGTGCATGGCAGTTTGTTTAGAAACCTGTAATCGCTTTGAAAATTGGTACCTACACATGGTTTTAAGGATATAAGAAAGGTCCCTATTGTTTTTAAGTTACGTAGACTATCGAGTCAAAAAGTTTCACTCCAGTATCGTTCGGTATTCAGTTGTATCGGATTTTTATATTTGATTTTGTGACAATGCAAACTTTCCCTAAACATTTCTAAATTGTTCTCAAATTTTTGAATAACTTAAAAGTACTGCTTTTTTTGAAACCGGAAAAAAAATTGTTTGAGATCGAGCGGGAAAAAACATTTTCTTATAGAATTTGGCCCGTAGAATCCATAATTTCAAACAGTTTGAAGATTGGGCTACTAGATCAAAAGTTACAGCCCTTTGAATTTTTTTTCGAAATTTGTTTTTTGTCCATAACTTTTGATTGAGAAGTCTGATCGAAAAAGTACGAATTGTTTTGGATTCTACGCACCAAAATTAATAAGAAAAAGTGTTTTCCCTAGAAATTTTGGTGCAGTCGATTTTTGGTAAAAAAGGAAGGTTATACACTGCCTTTTTTTGAGGCCCGAGAAAAAAATTGTCTCAGATCGACCCGGAAAAAAAATTTTCTTATAGAATGTGGCCTGTAGAATCCATAATTTCAAACAGTTCCAAGATTGGGCTACTAGTTCAAAAGTTACAGCCCTTTTAATTTTCTTTCGAAATTGGTTTCTAGTCTATAACTTTTGATTGAGAAGTCTGATCGAAAAAGTACGAATTGTTTTGGATTCTACGCATCAAAATTAATAAGAAAAAGTGTTTTCCCGAGAAATTTTGGTGCAGTCGATTTTTGGTAAAAAAGGAAGGTTGTACACTGCCTTTTTTTGAGGCCCTCAAAAAAATCGTCTCAGATCGACCCGGAAAAAAAATTTTCTTATAGAATGTGGCCTGTAGAATCCATCATTTCAAACAGTTCCAAGATTGGGCTACTAGTTCAAAAGTTACAGCCCTTTGAATTTTCTTTCGAAATTGGTTTCTAGTCTATACCTTTTGATTGAGAAGTCTGATCGAAAAAGTACGAATTGTTTTGGATTCTACGCACCAAAATTAATAAGAAAAAGTGTTTTCCCGAGAAATTTTGGAGTAGTCGATTTTTGGTAAAAAAGGAAGGTTCAAATACTATGCGAAGTATTCGAATACTTCTCAAAGTATTTAATTATTTAATTACAAAGTATTTGAATACTTTAAAGGATTTGAATACTAAAAAGTATTTACAAAATCGAATACTGCCGAGCTCTGCTTTCAGAACACTATTAATACTCGTGTCAATAACAGACGTCGTGCAAAATCTACAACACCTGTGTGATATTTTAATAAGGCAACCCCTCAGACTCTTACATTAATTTGTATTTTCGTTGTAGGTGATATTAATACTGACCGTTATTAATATGGTTAATCGCCGTACACAAAATAAAAGACAGATTTCTGGTTTTTAAATGTGAGCACCCCCGTTTAAAGAGGAGGTGGCGTAGTATGATAAATATCTTGTTATATGATTTTGAGTGGATTTTATATTAGCCAACAATAAATTTAATAAATTTTAAGGAAGAATTAGCTGCGGACTTCCTTGTCTTCTGCTAACTGTTGCCTAAGCTCTTGCCCTTCAGAATCTGTAGGCACGATCTTGTAATCCCATACTTGTGCCTAGCGAATTAAAATTGTACAAAATAATAATTGACACGTATGCACAACTTACATCAGCGGACGCAAATGCAAGATAGAACAAACATGTAATAAAAAGTATTAAGCTGGAGGAATAAAATATTCCATGCCATGCATCTTCCGGGTCCTAAAAGTTGCTATTCACGCGAGAGACCGACAAACATACTTAGCCTTACCAAGCTCTTAAAAAGAGATTTTGCGACGTAAGTTCCGAAAATGCCCGGAAGTAACAACACCACTTGAATAACGCTTGTCACCGAACCCGTCAGGTTTGGGGCAATATCTACTATGTTGACCATGGCGCCTGGAAAACAGGCGGACGTGAGCATTTGTGAAAACGCCCAAACGGTCATATTCAAATATTTATCGCATCCCAAGTGATTTATGAGCAGGCAGCACGCACCAGGCAGGAACATTCCTGTAATAAGACATTATACCGTGTGTTTATAAATGAATGTCGGGGGTCTTTCCAATACTTTCATCTTTTTGACTCAAATTGTACATTAAACGACACAGCAACTTCGTCTGGTTTTTTAAACCAAGTGGTCAGTTGATCATGCCTAATGTTTGAGTTGCTTTGTCATTTGATGTATTCTTTTGAATTTTCAGTAAAGATATGGTGAAGCCTTGGAATTCCGTTATAAGGTTCATTAGTTACCTATTCCCGTGAATAACTTGCGAATATTTTTTATCGTAATAAAATCGTAGGCCAGTAATTTATCTGCAACATAGGAAAATATTATTGCAAAGATAAAGGTCCCAAAGTTAATAATTCCCCCGCAAAGCCCGTTCTGGAATGCGATCATTATTTACTGAAATGACACAGATTAATTACCATTTCGGCACCTAACCCAATTATTGATTTGAGATACAATGGTCCGTAGGTGTTTGAAATTAAGCTAAACCACATTCTGCCAAACTGTGATATCGCAATGGCCCAAACCGGAAGACACAAAAAAATAGACTTCCAAGGTACGATCCGTTTATCTGCACTCAAAGTATCTTTTCTATGTTTCGAAATGTAATGTAGTTCTTTGTATTGCATGCGAGGGTGTAATTCTGGTTTGTCGAATGCAAAGAAGTACCATGCAAGACACCACAGAGCACCTGTAAAGAGCCATTGAATTTTTAGGGTTCCTTTACACCTGAATGACAACCTAGCATTCCAGAAACGTAGAATACGTACTTCCATCCAAGCGATGCAATTAAAAATCCCGACATTAGTAGTGAGATAGACATACCAATTGACAAACCCTGCAAGCAGGTCAAAAACCGAGCTTGCTCGTGTTTAGGTATCCACCAACTAACTAGAGAATACAGCGCGGGCCAAACTACTCCCTAAAATTGCAATTTGTGCTACTATACGCGATCTGTTAGGCTTACCAGTCCCAATCCGTGCAGAAGTTGCAAAACAATTACAACCAAATAATTCACCTCGCTTCCGAGCGGAATGAATAGATTACATACTGTCGAGGTGAACATTCCTATACCAATCACAATCTTTGCCCCAAACTTATGGGCTGTGATTCCTCCAAGCACTTGTCCCCCAATATACGTCCAGAAACAAGAGGTAAGTATGAAGTACTGGACGTCTATGGACCAATCAAAAGTACCACCATAGTTCTAAAATGTAGTGAAGAATGGTATGAATAAAGAATGTATAAAAGAACCACGAAAAAAAAATTTTTTTATTGTTTTCTTAAGCGATCGATTTCGGGTTTTTTTATATACCCATCATCAGGATCGCTTAACCCTGATGATGGGTATATAAAAAAACCCGAAATCGATCGCTTAACCCTGATGATGGGTATATATAGAAAAAATCGAAATCGATAACTTAAAACAAAAAAAAACAATAATAAAAAATATTTGTGGTTCTTTTATACATTCTTTATTCATAAAAGCAGAACCAGAAAATGGAGATCATAAAAAATATGAAGAATGGTAGTTGAACCTGTGATGACCTTACCTTATACGTGACAGCCAAGTCATTCCTCACGTTACACTTACTGTCATTCTTAGCTAAATATTCGCTGCTTTCTCCTTCTTTAACCATCGCTAGTATTGTTATACTCATCGCCGTTCGTAAAACAAAACTTACTCCTATACACGTCGTCGCTAGAAGATATAAAGATACCCTAGCGGGTACCTTCGCTACAAGAAACATCAGCTCTTTACGCCATCATTATCTTCGATTTATTACCAAAAGCAGAAGATCTCGACATGCTGATTCTCTTCCTTGGCCTATAATTTCAAAAGGATATTCTTGCGGGTTCTTCGCTGGGTACGCCAATGAATTAAACAAGTATATTGAGTCATTCACCAGAAAATATAAGAAACTTCGTCAATTTTCTCTATACGCGAGTTGCTAACTTAGTTGCAACTGACATCACGACCAGTCTAAAATAAACGTTTTACTTCCAGGATGGATACACATAATTTAATTGATCGTAGTGTTTTACTTATATAACGGTAGATCATTAAAACTTTAATTAAGTGAGAATTAATTACCGTAAATAAGGATACAAACATGTATCACATATGTTTTTCTTTTTTCATATTTTGTGTATTTTGTGTGCCTTGAAAACTGTTCACAAGTACTTCAAATTTAATTAACTTCCATAATACGTATTATGGAAGTTAATGAAATCTGCTTGACAATGCAAAGGAAGAGAGTAAACATTTTCAAAACGCAATTCGCAATTCGATATGAAATTGTCTTGGAAATTGTTGATCAAACAAAATTATATGCTCGAGTACCTCAATGGTAATCTTCCTAATTGAGGAAAGTTCGAAACTTTTGAATCAGATTTAACTTTTATTTTGTTTGACTTATATTTATATTATCGTGCTTTCTCCAGCTCAGGAAAATTTCCTATTTTAAGGGGCCTAATGAAAGTAGAAGGGCTCTTCTGTAACCACTGTGATAGTTTGGCCATTTTTGGTGGTAGCAACACTGACCAGACAAGTCTTCATCTGGGCATAATTCACCTTTGATCTTCTTAATATCCTCTGGAGGAGGTCCTTTACCAGCTTTCCGAATAACCTCCAAACCAAAGAGATGCAGGTAGGATGAAGGCCCAATGTGTTTATGGAAGATCGCATGTTTTTCACTTCTTCCCAGTCGACACTATTAAACGAATTAGCTGCTCCCCAGGCGGCATAGGTACCAGATCCAAATGTATACAACGATAAACTGCACAAGATCCAGCCTTTTCCTACCTTCAACACAATGGGCCTTACAAGATCGACTCCAGTGGTGGTAAACGGGTCCCCATTCGATATCTTTTCCTTTGGTAAGGGAATTGCGTCCCCTTTTAGTGGTTTAGTACGAAGGCATGTCTTAGAGTTCCGTATCACCTTTGCACCGCCCTCCTGTAGTTGATTATCCATCACTTTTCTCTCAACTTTTCACGAATGAGGTTGACTCCACGAATCAAAAGAAAGTCGTAAATTAGAGTTGTGACAAGTGCTGAGGGAGATAAAATCATTCTTACTTTCTCTACACCAAAGTCGGGTTTCCACACGAATGAGTCCTTGGAGTCACGTTTCACATTCAAACGTTCTGTTTTATCTATACTCAGCACGCACCATTGATAAAGAAGGTAGACCTTTCTCTTGTTTTACAAATCGTAAGATCTAACCGTAGATTGCAAGAGTCCTTCGATAAGACGACGATTCTACGATCATCTGACTTTCTGAGCTTTCTTTCAACTTCACTTATAACTGGCAACAGAGACAATCACTCGGGACCCCCCCTTCCATCTGAATCCAATAAATTGCTAAGGGGTGTATCCTCTTAAAGGCAAGTCTGCTGGATTCAGACTACCAACGACATGTCTCCATTGCTCCCGTCCATATCACCTGATTATAAGCAAACACTACCCAATCCCCATCTTTTTTGTATCCAAACGGAAACTGAAAAATCAGTCCAGAGGTGAGTCAGGATGTTTTCACATTCGAGGATTAAACATCCCACCAACTCCCAACATTGGAATGCGAACTTCCCTTTTTGTAACGAAAGTCTAATGCCGGGCGATAAATGAAATTGTTATCGATTTATCGATTAATCGTTAATCGATAACTATCGATAATAATAACTTTAGATAATTATCTATAACTATCGATAATAATCGATAAATCGTAACGCTAATTTTCGATAATAATCGATAACGTTTGATAATTATCGATACATTTTTATAATTATCGATAACTTTTGAAAATAATCAATAAAGACTCTTAGCTGTCGACTATTATTAACATTTGTCGAAAATTGTCCATCTGTGATAATTATCGATTAATAGATAAGTAGCGTTAATTATCAAGAGAAAACTATCGATACTTTTTCATAAATCTTATCGATATAAATATATTCTCAATCGGTATAATTACATCATCCATGCGTACACTCGCTAACATTTTTGCTTTTTTGGTATATTGCGAGAGATAATTTAAATAAAAACAGGATCTTTTGGAAAATATTAAAACAACTATAGGTAGGTATGCTGAAGTTTTCTGAAATCAAAGGTTATCAAGTGGCCGATAATCCTCAAAAATTAATAGAGAAAGTAGGTTGTGAATTGTGATCATGACAATTCCACTTGATCGCTTTTGTTTCAAGTAAACTGATATAAACATTGAAAATGGACTTCTCAAGTTTGTGTCGTTAAAAATTCTCTCGATAATTATCTATCTTCTTAGTTTAGTTGTGAGATGAATCGATAGATTATCGGTAATTATAGATTTATCGACCAATCCTTAAAAATTTTCGATAAATTATCGATTAGTCGACCTTTTTTTAATTTATCGACTAATCGATTAATCGATAATTATCGATAAGTTATCGATTAATCGATAAATATAGATAAGTTATCGGTTAATCGATGGAATCAACTTAATTAAATTGTGTTTCTTCAAACTTAGTTTTTCTGGAACATGACATGACGCTTCAAAAACTGGCCGCACATACGCCTTAAACACGTACAGGATGATGAGCAAGGAAATGTGCAATATTTTCATCCTTTTCCCGCAGATTGAACAGTGCATCGTAATCACTCCAGTTGTTGGAGTTTGATTGTAGCCTACTCTATCCTCTTCTAACTTACTGATCAATTTGTAGGGAGATACTCCTCTTTTCCTTTCCAAGGGAATGTAACTTCGACTATCTTTCCTCTGAAGCATATTTAAGTTACTAGCATCTATGTCGCTCTCCGCCTTTGACTTCTTGTTATATTATAGGTGCTTTATTGCAATGGTCTCCAGATTCCATAAGTCAGAAAGGTCTGGCGGGTTTCAGAGCAATGAAATGATTGTGATAGAAGTGGTTGAGTTCGGCAATCACCCTCCCTCCCCCCCTCATGGTCTATTCAAAAATAGTCTGTCGCTATTCTAGTTTGACCAGCTTCTCAGTTGACATGGCCCCAATGATCTGGTTATCCGATAAGGATTTTCGGGTGTGCATTTCCTGGAGGGGTGGCCACTTCTCAAGCACCAGAAGCAAGGAATTTTCTTAATCACTATTTGCGGCTTAGTTTCATAAGCCATGTCTTTCGCTTTCCAACATTTGGCAGAGTCGTGATTTTTGCATAATAATAATAAATCCTTCCCCACCACATTCGATGACAATTCGGAAGCTATGAGAGCAGTATATTCTTGAATATTGCTATTCTGATGTTCTCCCCTCCTACCATAAAATTTGGTTGTTGTGTAAGGGAATCCGCATTTCATTCTTTACTTCTTCTCTCATGAAGTGAAATGAAAAAATCTTGACTCTCATGCTACAGATTCAGTTCCTCCTCCGAAACATCGCCCTTCAAAAACATCTCTTGAATATCTGAATTGCATTTTGTAAGTCTCGAATACCACTTTTTGACCGTCCTCCATTGTGTTATTCGGCTTCTCATTTTGAAAAGATTCTGATTAAAGATACTCTAGAAAAGACACAGCTCAATCTGAAAAAATCTGGAAGAGAGTAGGGGGTAGTGCCATGGATTTCTAACGTTGCCTAACAAAGTATGGCGGCGCCAAAGTTTCTGATGACGTTCAATTTTTCGATATAAGTAAGTTAGCTTACCGATTTGTGGATTTTGAACCAAACTCCCAACTAAACTGGAAATACAAGATGCAGTACACTACTTCCCTCGCCCCTCTTATTGAAAGATGTCAATGTTGACTACGCAATCCAAGCGACGGTGATTGAGAAATAAGGCAGTAAAGCTATAATTTAATATTAAAACGAGTGCTGAAAGATACTTAATGTTTTAAATAGTATCTATACAATGCGCAACATAATTACCAACGTTTATCACTTTTGTATAGGTACACATTCGGCACGATTACTGATATCGTTACCTAATGAATTTTACAAAAAAATTCATATAAAATGCGTTTCGTTGTTAATGGAGCAGTTTATATTGCAACAGACCCTTACCTACAGATAAGTAGCTCGAATTACACACTTTTTTTCTTTTTAAATTTTCCCTCAGAGTTGGCGATGCGTTATCTCAAACCCGCCACATAAACAGCCCACTAGCTCAGGGTTGGAAAATAAAATATAAGCTTGAGATCTTCCACAGCGGTAGTTCGATCTGGGCATATGATCTTCTTCACTTCATTACCACTTACCTTACTATTAGGGTTGAGCGCCAGTCAATTTTTATCGAAATTGAGAAGATACGAGGATTGTAATACCGGTAAAATCAAGTAAGGTACCTAAAAGAAGGATTACGGTAAATTACTTACGTTAACAATTACAGTGGAACATTTAGCCCTTTAAGAGGTATTTAACGATACGCTTATAACACACAGAAGCAAAGGAAAGTATGCCCTGATTGGTTGAATTTCTCGGCTGAGTACGGTTGTTAGGATGCTTATTTAATTACCCACGTGTCCAGATGGACGGTGCAATCGATACAATGGTGGTCGTTATCTCTCTGATAAGATCGCCACAGGTATTCCGCCCGATTAAATTGATACCTCCGTACGGAAACACCCTGGTAGTTTTAACACTCTCGATCTGGACGGATATTGTTTTAGCAGGAAATACCCGGAGGAAGGAAAGTCTCTTGAAAAACACGGCATAAAACCGCCGTATTAAAATCTCTAAGTTAATGAGAGGGTGTAGAAACCAATTAATGCGAATATCGATGTAACAATTATTTAAGTACGTCGGCTCAACTGTCAGTTATCGAAACATATTTGAAACTTTACGGCAATTTTGTCTTGTCTTGTCTTGTGTTGAGAAACAAAAAGTGTCTAGGCATCAAAAGAGAAATTTATTTGGACCTCAACTCGTTTGCGCAAAGTGGTCTCGAGTTTAATAAACCTTCAATTTGTATTAAGATCGTGATTAGCTCTTCATAGGAAACCTCCAGGACCTCCCGGAGCTGCCTACTACCCTCAAACTTTCAGCCCTACGAACTCTCATCACACCTTAAAAAAATCGAATTTTCCTTTCTTAGCAAGTCTTCGATAGATTCAAAGGTCCCTTCAAAAATGTAAAGGGGGCGCTCTAAAGGGCACTACTCGGATTAGTTGAAAATATAGAACCGGGGGGGTCTGGGGGACATCGACTGGGAGTATTATACTCGTAGATTAAAAAGTAGAGATTATAGATTTAATATGAATCCCTAAACAAATACGCAAATGTACCTACGTTTAAAAGCACCACGTGTTTTGTGACAGCCAAAAATGTAAGGCCGGATGGCAATTGTTGATGCGAATCCAACCTAATTAGAACCGTTATAAGCGACTTAAAGAATAGGTAATGTTAGGGAAAATTTTTTGTGGTAATTTAACAATGAGTTTTTTCATATTCAATTTTCATACAAAAAAGCGCTTAATTTCGTTAATTGTTTGGAAGGTAGTTTATTATTTAAAATTTGATGAATATCTTGATTGTCGGTACTAACATAGCGGAATAGAGGTCCAAATTATTAAAATGAGCAGTTTTTGTTTTCGAAAACTTTATACTTATTAAAAATTAATCTTTCAACGTAAGCAACGATTCTAAAAATTTAACAAAAACTAAGGTTATCAAAAGATTTTTTTGAAAATACGGTTCTACGTTGTTCTTTACTTATATCGGTAGTGCAAGGTATGGTGATTTCTCCATTTGATTAAGGGCAATAATAAAATTGAACCGATGCAAAATAATTTTCTATGAAGATCTCCAAAATAATTGTTGAGTCAGCAAAAGTATTTTCATAATTTGTTCTTTTATCAAATGCGTTTAAAGCGAAATATGTTTTCGAGAGTAGCTGATGAACATAAAGCCGCATAAAACAAAATGATCAGCATAATTCTCCCCTTGATTGAGAATATTTTTTGGCGGCATGTCAAAGGACCATCACATCAGACAAATAAAATGACATTTTTCGGTTTTTTTGCCATAACTTCGCTATTTGAAACTTGTTCACAATTAAAAGTAGCAGCTTCATTACTTTGCTTCTCAATCGTAGGGATTTAGCAGTTGGATTCCTGTTGTAACCTCCTCTTTGTCTATAAATACTAAATGAGTTTTCTAGCACATCTTGATTTAACCATCAATGTCGCCTATTTCTTTGGCTACAAGACGCAACACCCCTTGTATAGTTTGATGTAAACAAAATGACGGCAGTATACTTAATTTTTTGTGTTACTCTCTTACTATCTTTCTTTGATAATATTTGGAACCACTTCTAATGCTTTTTGCAAAGTTTTATATATGGAACATTATTACTAGTAAGCCCATGTACCTAAATAAGGAAAATCTCGTCTTGCTTTCAAGCAAATAAATTGTTTATAAATTCTAAAAACTCTTAACAGCAATTTGTGGGTTGAGTTGTCCAGAATTCCAGATGCAATAATTGTATGCAAGGAACACCCATGAAGATGTGTCTTTGATGCTGCACTAGCAACTTCCTTTTCATAGTATTTCGAACTGTAATCATTTCATGTCAAATATTCTTATCTGTTGACTGTTGTTTCAGGAGAAGATACCAAGGAAACGAGTATATGTAGTACCTAATTGCTAATCAGTAATCATATAGGTATTAGGTTACCTGAAGGGCTGCATTCTGCTGGGATGTTTGACAAATAATCCATGCTATCGAA